CGCAAGGCAGAGAAAGAAAGGTCGTGTCCATGCAAGTTTGTTGTATTGGTAGTAGAAGGAGGAGTAGGTAGGTAGGTAGGTAGGTAGGTAGGTAAGTAAGGCGTATATATGGTGCCGAGAAGAGGGTGATGTCAGGTTTGGTTTCGTGGAGGAAGATGTATGGATGGATGGTTGAATAGGATGGAGCAGAAATTTGGTATCACTTATCACTGGTTGCGGACGAGGATCAGTTTTCGAGTTGGGTTGAATTGAAATGAAAGACTTTAGGAAATAGGGGTTACGTACCAGGAAATAATCAGCAACAGGCTTCTTCGCAGGCATACCTCTTGTATCCTGCGCGGCGGCCTCGAAGACCCGGTACCGTCGACCTGGGCTTCGGGTCACGGCCGCCGCACCGGCTGCACCGCCGGTGCTTCGACCGTAGTCGCCGTTGCTGCGGGCGACCGTGCCCCCGTTGCTGGCGTCCTCGCCGAGTTCCAGGATGGAGGCGACGTTGCCGCAGCGGTAGCAGTAGTTGGGGGCGGACCAGACGGTGACGATGCCGCCGTCGAACATCTCCTTGTACCCTTCCATGACGAGCTGGTGGGCGCGCGCGATCAGCGACAGGTCGTTCTTGTAGTTGAAGTGTTTCACAATGTCGCCCCCGAACAGGAACCCCGCGCCGCGCGGGCTGAGGCCCCAGCCGTCGATCTCGTCCGGGTCCGACCAGAGGAGGTCGCACATCGCGCCCTCGTGCGGCACTTCTTGTTTGCGGTCGATCAGTCGGATCTTATCCACGCTGTCGATGAGTGGGGAGAGACCCCCGTGGACGCAGAGGACGGCCCCCGTGCCGGTGGCGTAGCTGCCGGAGGAGTCCCCGGTGGCGCCGGTGCCTGCCCACCCGGATCGCAGGGGGGGCATCGAGGAGGAGGCGGGGGTCTGGGTGGTGGACGACGTGGCGGATTTGTCTTGGGAGAGGGAGGGGAGGAGGGGGGAGTCGGTGCGCGGCTGTTTGGGTCGGTAGCTGCTCATCGTCACCTCGCCGCGCGAGTTCAGCACCTCGGTTTCCAGCTCGCTGTCGTCCAGCGACATTGTCGACGACGTGGTCTCCAGCGCGGGGCCCGTGGGCTCCAAGCCTGAGCTGGCGCCCAGCACCAGCGCCCCCAGCGCCAGGTAGTCGAAGACCTCGCAGCAGTACCGCCAGACGTTGGCGCTGCCGTATTTCCGGATGCACTCGTCGTAGAAGCCGTAGACCGTCGTGATCTGGCGCGACTCGTGGTTGCCGCGGATCAGCGTGATGCGGTCGGGATAGCGGACCTTGAGGCAGAGGAGGAGCAGGAAGGATTCGAGCGAGTAGAACCCGCGGTCGACGAAATCACCCATGAAGAGGTAGTTGGTGTCGGGCACATCGCCGCCCACGCGAAAGAGCTCCATCAGGTCGTGGAACTGTCCATGGATGTCGCCACAGATGGTGACGGGCGCGTCCACGCACACCACATTGCCTTCTTCAATGAGGAGTTCCCGCGCTTTGTAGCAGAGTTCGCGGACTTGAGACTCGGGGATCAGACGGCAAGCGCGTAGTTGCGCGATCGCTCTGCACGAGAAATGGAGGAGTAAGTCAGTGCTTTACTTTCTCTGTGTATTTGTTTTTTTTTTCTTTCTTTCTTTTTTTTTTTTCTGTGCAAAGTGGGATATGCACGGTCGGGGATTTTATCGGAGAGAAAGCGAGAGGATAGAATGTATGCAATACCTGTCTAAGTCACTCATGGTGTGACAGTGTTCAAAGGATGAGGCTCACTGGGGTCGGAGGAAGGAAGCTGGAGGGGGAGGGGTGGGTCCGAAGAATGGAGGACCGGTTTCACTCTGGTTCAAAGCCGCAAAAGCCCAGTGATAGAAGAAAAACAACAGCTAAGTGTAGAGAAAATGCACGCTCATCTTTCCGTCTAAAAATCGCTGGAGATGAATAGTAAGACGAGGGGAGGAAGGTGGGAGGGAGAAAGGGCGTGGAGGGGTTGAGGGAAATGGAAGGCGGATGATGGTGATGGTGATGGTGATGATGAGGTCTGCTCGTCTGCTCAGCTGTTCGGAACTCCTGCTGATTGTAGCTTCACTGGTTGTTTGCCAATCACGGGGTTTGCAGATAAGATTAGATCTGATCGTCCAGCTCCGGGCGAGTTCTTCCAATTCCGAACTTTCCCTTCCCGAATCAAGAAACCTTACGATGATTCAAGCTTCCCCATAAACCCCCCCCCCCCCCAGTCCTGCTGAGTTGCCCGTGCGGTCTCGCGCTTGAATTGCTTTTTCGAGGGGCAATGCCGCTCTTTAGTCCCATTCTAGTATCCCTCCATTGAGTCAATTTCTTTCAAATCGCTGTCAGGTATGTATTCCACGTCTCTGCCTGGGGTGCTCTGCCTCAATCTCACCCGCTAACGCAATGTTCTCCCCCCGGCCTACAGTCAAAGTCACAATCACAGTCACTGCAGCCCTACCCACTCTCCGCTTGAACACCTGCCAATTGCATAATACAGCACTCGACAATGCCGCCTCATCTGCATCCTCGCTCGCGGTCGACGAGCTCTCTCTTCGCGGCTACCCTCCTCGCATCCCTCTTCGTCGTTGGCCTTCCGCATGTCTTCCCCTGTCCTGCCCCCCGCCGCACCCTCGCCGACTCCGAGATGACCGTCAATGCCGACGGACAACAGGTTCCGCGTGTCCGACGAAGGAAGCGCAAGGATGCGGACCCCTTCGGCCTCGAGGATAGAGCCCTTCCTCAATCACCCATGGCTAGCGACGAAGACGTTTCCACGTTCCTCCAATTAGAAGCAGAGGCTGCTGAGCTGTCGCAGGCGGGTCATCAATGCCCCGTGCCGAAACCGAAGGGGATCTTGGGTGATTTACTGGGTTTTACGAATCGCGGGGAGACACCATCACAACCCCCTCCGACGAGAGAAGCCCGGTGACTGCAACGTTTATTACAAGGAAATCTATGAAGCATCTTGAGAGGGAGGGAAACGTGGCTTGTACTGTGGAATTGGCCAACAGAAGCGATATTGTTGGCTTCGCTGGGGGGAAGGCTTCGGATTGGGGGTTTGATGCCTCTCCAAATCAGCCGCTCTAACGGCAGTTATATACCCATCTTTGTATCGATAGTGTACTTACAGCCATGATTTGTGTAACTACATAGGATCACTTTTGACATTCAATATGAACATGAACAATTTACACTCAATTGGACGTTGCTTGCTCTTCATGTTAACGAGCCTGTAGGTTGGAAAGCAGGTGGGCGCGGCCGGGTTCTGTGTGGAAAGAACCACTAAGCCCAAACAGGACAGGTATTATTGGCTGCGCTCCGCTCCCGCTCCGGCTGCACGCCGGCCTACTAAGGCCACATGCGTCGCAAGCTCACCACAAGCATTGACATTGCAAACCTGCGACAACATCCAGAATGGAGTGGATGCGCTTCCTCAAGGATCTGTGTCTGAATCCCAGACACACAGTATGGGTCGCACCACTTCTGGTATTAGGCGACGCCTTCCTGTGCACCCTCATCATCTGGAAGATCCCTTGTATGTTTCTGCTAAAGTACTTGCTTGCATGGACCTCCCGAAGCTAACCTTCTCTCGCGCTGTCCACGCCAGATACCGAGATCGATTGGTCTACGTACATGCAGCAGATAGCCCTCTATCTTGCCGGCGAGCGCGACTACACCCAGATCAAAGGCTCCACGGGCCCGCTCGTCTACCCTGCCGCCCATGTCTACAGTTACAGCTTCCTCTACCACCTCACGGACGAAGGTCGGGACATTTTCTTCGGCCAGGTCCTGTTCGCGGCGCTGTACCTGGCGACCCTCCTCGTCGTGCTGGCTTGCTACAGGCAGTCCGGTGCGCCGCCGTATCTGTTGCCGCTCCTCGTCCTATCCAAGCGGCTGCACAGCATCTTCGTCCTCCGGCTCTTCAATGATGGGCTGGCGGCCTTGGCCATGTGGCTCGCTGTCTTGTTGTTCCAGAATCGGAAGTGGACGGCGGCCGTCGCCGTCTGGTCGGTCGGGGTAGGCATCAAGATGACCTTGTTACTTCTGGCCCCGGCCGTTGCAGTGATTACGGTCCTGAGTTTGTCCCTCGGGCCTAGCATCAGGCTGGGTGTGGTGGCATTGCTTATCCAGGTATGTATCCTACGGCCAATCTGACATCGGGGTTCATTCTGCAGGCGAAATTTTATGAGAGGCGCAATGCTAAGAGAGAATACAGGTTTTGTTGGCGATTCCGTTCCTACAACAAAACCCAGCAGGATATGTTGCGCGAGCTTTCGAGCTGACCAGGCAGTTTATGTTTAAATGGACGGTCAATTGGCGATTTGTGGGTGAAGAACTTTTCCTATCCAGAAAGTTCTCCTTGACATTGCTTGCTATCCACTTTGTCTTGCTGGTGCTATTCATTGCCTTTGGCTGGCTCAAACCGGTCAATTCTCGCCGGCCGGAGTTCATCCAGAACCTGCTCACGGGTCGACACCGCCCCGTCCCACTGTCCAGATCGTATATCATGACCGCGTTGCTGTCATCGCTTGCGATTGGTCTATTGTGTGCAAGGTCGCTCCATTACCAGTTCTTCGCCTATCTCTCCTGGGCAACGCCGTTCCTTCTCTGGCAATCGGGCCTCCACCCCGTTCTGCTGTACGCCGTTTGGGCAGCTCAGGAATGGTCGTGGAACACATACCCAAGCACCAACACGAGTTCCATCGTTGTCGTCCTCTCCCTTGCGATTCAAGTCTTGGGTGTTCTCGCGAAAGGCACCAACGCCTTCGCCGCTACGCATGCGAAGCCAGGCAGAAAGGAGCATCTCCAATAAACGAACTGGATCCGAACAGTTGTGAGAGCCCGGTTATAGTGCGCAGGTGCCAGGGTGTGTCGTAATGTCTCCGGAGAAGCCGGTTCAGATCAACGCTCGTCCGCCGGATTGCGACGAGAGCGATAGCGCAGCAAAGGTCTCCAAGCGTGGAGTCTATTCCCAATGGGAAGAGCATCATCACGCATCAGATTCGTCGTCCGAAGGCGGCAGTTTACCAACATTAGACTCCTCCTCGGATTCCTCGTCGTCCGAAGCAGCAACAACTTGCTTGGTGAATTCCTTGGGCCTGCCACAGCATTAATAGTAATTCAAAGCACTCTCCATGAGGGTAAACCAACCAGAATGGAGCCTTGCGCCATGCCTTCTCGTCCCGGACGATGTTGATAATCTCGCCCTTCAGCTTGTTGTCGCGGCCCTCAAGAGCATTGGTGTCGATCACCACGTAAGATCCACGCTTGATCCAGATGGTCGAACGGAATCGCGAAGGCAACTCGACCAGGGCCGACTCCTTGGATGGCGTCTCAACCAGGTAGACGTTGTTTCCGGTAGCTTTGATGACCCGCGTAATCAAGTGTCCCTGGGCAAGCTCATCCGGCGGGACCATCGTCTCTTCCGCCGTGGCAAGTACCTTGCGCCGAGGAGGGCCCATATCGATCAATTGGTGCTGTAACCGCGAGGGGTAATCGGGCTGATATTTTGGATAAAGAATAGAATGCGGGTGACTCTGGATGGTCAGACAGGTGACAATGAGTATCCGTGATGGAGAATCAAAGTGGATGACGGAAGCTCTGATGGGACCTTAGGCAAAGATTTTTTTTTCTCCGAGTTGAGGAAATTCCCCAGTGCGGAGGGGGAAGTGGGCCTTGCCCGATTCGGTAATTGACTGTTTCCCCCGGAATGCACTGCCAGCTGCCTGAGTGCTCCTGAACCCTCCCCTCTCCGCTTTAAATCCAACTTGGCGCCGCTTTTTGCTCATTGAGCGGCCCGGGGCGTGGGGGAGCACAGAAGTGCGTGTTCCGAGCAATCCTTGAGCGATCCAGCTATACTGTGCACGGCTAAAATCCTGTATCATACTTTAGCATCCTTTTAAGTTGGCATGCTGAAGTTGAAGTCATACAGTATCGATTTCCTCAACTTATCTCCCGAACTACCGTAATCACATGCCCTCTGCCAGAGAAATACAGTATGTGATTGTTGTGGGTATCTTACTCTCTCACTTCAGCACTATATACAAAGTAGCTCAGGTACAGTACAACATCTGCAGACTGAGATGATTGCAGGGCAGTAATGATGGGGTCGATCGTAAGTGCAGTGCACGACAGCAGTGCTAAATGACATACATAAGCATGGTGTGAACCACCACGCAACCACCTACCGCCTCAGAAGGAGCTGCGTCTGGCATTACTAGTCGCAGTGCTGAGCGCATGGCGAGCCTGAAGGCTTGACTTGCAGCTACCGAAGGGTCGGGCCTGGGCCGAGACGATGTCAAACCAGCGCCGTAACCGAGCAATTTCTGCCTCCTCCGCAGACATCTCGACCTCCTCTCCCTGAACCTTGAGATCGTCCTTGCACTGTTGCACCTGTTCATCAATCTCGTCCAGGCACTGTTGTGCCTCCTTTTGGATCTCCTTCACACACTCGTTGGCTGTCATGCGGACCTCGATATTACACTCCTCGACCTGCTCGCGGAACTCGGTCTCGTGCATTTTACAGGCGTCGAAGACCTGGTCCACCCCCTTGCTCACCATGTCCTCGAAGACCGTCTGGATGTTGTCCGACTGGAAGTGGGCCGCAATCGCCCGGTCGATGTATGCTTGGACACTGGGATCGATCCGCTCTTTCTCGAATCTGCATGACAGGTTGCAGCTCTCTACGGGTGCAGGGGTAGGCCGCTGACAACGGCATCCCAGGCGAGTCAATAGGTGGCGGATGAGATTATCGGAGGCTCCCTGGAGCAGATTTTCAATACGTGCAAGGGTATCGTGTTCTATGCGGTCAAGGGAGGAAGCACGCGTAAAGTGGGTGGGCTGGATTGAGGCCGATACTGGGGATGGAACGCTCGGTGTATTGGGTTCGGTGGAATAACACGAGGGTTCTGGAGATGTAAGAACATGTCTTGTTCGTCTGTCATCCTCGGGTGGGATTGAGGAGTGATCTATATGGAATCAATAAACTACTGAGGGAAAGTGGGATGTACACGAGACAGCGATATAGTAGAATACCTCGGCGCCGTTTTCCACCCACGTGCACTCCTTTTAAGTGGTGTTTGTATGAGGGTAGGTCCTCTCCCTTCTTCGTCTGTTCGGGCTCGGAATCCTCGGAGTATGGGGGAGGATCAAGCATCTTCCCAAAGACATGGCCGTCTCGCTCGATTCTGCCTTTGCGCGCATGGTTGAAAACCTTCGGCCGGAGTCCTTCTTTTAGTGTGAAGAAGAAAGTCTTGAGCCGATCGAGTTCACCGTTGTTGAATTGTCGCTGAGTAAAGTGTATATAGAGTGAACTGGATTTGCAGATCTTTTCAAACGCGGCGAGATTGGAGTCTTCTTGATCCGGGGGCTGGATGAGAGGCGGTCCAGCAACAGTACCCATTTCATGCAGCTGAAGTGTCAGTGTTACGACCGTCGAGATACAATGCGTCTGGGCTGGGAGTTCCGCCAAAAAGGATTCCGGAAAAAGTGTTTCGGTGGTGGGCTGTACAACTTTGTACCTTTCGACTGCGCTTGGTGGGATATTCAATGAGAATTGCTCTAGTTTGCCTTTCGAGTTAGCCAGTACGTTTGCTTTGAAATTGAGTGATACGGTGCCTTGATTAGCTTCTCCATCGTAGTCAATGTAAAGCTTGGCCAAACAAGGACTATCGCCCTGAGGCAAAGAAACAAGGACTTGCTTCTTCAAGGCCCAGGAGGGCTTTGGGAATGCTGTAGTCATTTCGGTGTTGTAAGATCAGCTAGATAGAAGAAAACCCCCTCGATGATGAATCGAGTAGCCCTCCCACCCGGGCTTTTGAGTAACGATAAGCAGCCCTGACTTTGATCATATAAAGAATCAACGATGAGGAGACAAGATAGTAAAGTGGTGAAAGCTCTTGCGGCCTGGTCACGAGTACGTGCCCAATCCAAAGTCAACAAGTGAAATTGAAAAGTCCTATGAAAACACAGGAATGGCAGGACGGCGGCGAGGACAGCAAGAGCAGACACTTCCTTTACGTAAGAATGGAATTCGCGATCAGAGAGTGAAGAGAGAGAGAAGAAAGGAGAGGAGAGAGGAGAGAGGAGAGAAGAGAGAAGAGAGAAGAGAGAAGAGAGAAGAGAGAAGAGAGAAGAGGAGTAGGTCCGGGCGGGGGCTGGAGATCGGCGACGTTCCTGGAAGCTACGGTGGGCTACTCGACCTTCCTACGTATTTGGGTAAGACGGGCCCGCCCCACCGCCTTGGCAACAAATAGCTTGCCGTAGAAGCGGATTTACATTCCTCCCTGCGTCGAGACAAATTCTCGGCCCACCGTATTTGGCTGTTCATTCACTTTGGCAGTGTTGACATGACAGCATCCACTAACATGGAACTACTCAGTAGGTTTGTCAAAAGCAAAAGGTGTTTTCCTTCAAAAGTAAAGAGTCCTCTGGATCGTGGGTATCCGTCAAGGTCCCACACATATGTTTGTATCAGTACCACAGATCTCGATGAGCGTTGCGCACGGTTTAAGGTACACGGTTTAGAGAGCCTGTTCTAGTCGCGTGAATTACCGCAGTGAGCGGCCAGTCAACTACCCTCTCTATCACTGCATGAACGTGCTGTCAATTCGAATACGTGGGTGTGTGTATTCCCTGTGCACTATATTCGTACCGTTAATATTTCATGTGGTTACATCTGCCCGCTGCTGAAGCTTTCACATGCAAAGCCGACTGCTATCTACTCCGTGCTCAACCCACTCTCCGTCATCGCAACATGCAGACTATCCGGCCAGTCATCGAGTTTTATTACGAGTCATGTCCAGATTTCCATGCAGAGCAGCCAAGAAGAGCCTTGGTGCCAGCAGAGGCCAATCCACAAAGTCGAGCCAAGACCAGCGTGATCTTGCTGAATGTGCTGATCTGACCGACTCCGCATTGCTTCTGGCCCACGCCTTTTGGCCCGCACCTTCTGGCCCGCACCTTCTGGCCCGCGCCTTCTGGCCCGCGCCTTCTGGGGATCACTGAACGTGCGAAGGGAACATGTCATGTCCACGTACTTCTGTGAGCCTGATTGGTTCTCGGGATTTGAATTCCTATACGACTTTAGCCGATGGACTACGATTTATCAGCTGGCGGGGCCCCAGAAGAATTAGTCAGTCTATCTAGTCTACAAAAGACCACTGGGCGGACGGCCAAAGGCGACGATCCATCAAAACGTGTTTGTGATCCAGCCAAAGTATAGAGCTCCGTCCTAGCGTGCCCTTACTCTTCCGAACCCTGCAGCATGTCAGCCTCGGCATTTGGCGCCCTGGTAGAGTCTCAGAGCCCAGCTTCTATCGCCAGTCCGGCTGCCGTTGTGCGTAGAGATAAGCAAGGCATCGCACACACCCCATCCGATCATGAGTTGGTTGAGCTACAGCAAGGGCGTCCACAGCCTGTCAATGGGGTATCATCGAATACTGCCACCGATGTGCAGACTCCTATCACCCCAGGTGAACTCGAAAGTCACTCAGCCTCCCCTGGAGAGAATGAGGCTTCCGGTCCGGCACCGACTTTCAGCAACCCATCCAAGACCAAATGGCGCTTCTTGAGTACCTGTTTGATAAATTTCGCGCAGGGATTGAACGACAGCGCCCCTGGTGCTTTGATCCCTTACATGGAGAAAGACTACAATATCGGTTATGCGGTCGTATCTCTGATCTTCGTTACCAATGCCTTGGGCTTCATACTCGCAGCCTTGATCACACATCCACTAGAGATGAAGCTTGGTCGCGCCAAGTGTTATGCTCTGTCCATGAGCCTGTTAGTGGCCGGATTCGTGATCATCATCTGCAAACCTCCATTTCCCGCGGTCGTTGCAAGTTTCTTTCTTCTTGGTTTGGGGATGGCCGTCTGTCTAGCGCTGAACAATGTTTACTGCGCGAACCTCGCCAACAGTACCGCGGCTTTGGGTGGTCTTCATGGGTCTTATGGAGTCGGGGGCGTCGTGGGACCGCTTGTGGCAACTGCTATGGCATCACATGGAGTTCGTTGGTCCCTTTTCTACTGTATCAACCTCGCGCTGTCGTTGTTCAACCTGGCCTTTGCGGTATGGTCGTTCGCGAATTACGAGAAAGAGCTTCCAGCACAGCTTCTGGGCGCATTACAGCAGACCGCATCCCGGCAAGCAAGCGGCGGCGAGTCAAGAAGCCGAAGCCGTCTTCTCAAGCAAGTGGTCAAGGATAAGACCACCCTGCTTGGGGCTCTGTTCATCTTTGCCTATCAGGGCGCCGAGGTCTCAATCTCTGGGTGGGTGGTGTCGTTCCTCATCAGCTATCGCCATGGGGACCCGTCACACGTCGGTTATGTTAGTGCCGGCTTCTGGGCTGGGATTACTCTCGGTCGCTTCTTCTTATCGCATCCTGCCCACTTTATCGGAGAAAAGCTTTCTGTCATTCTCCTTGTGATCGGATCCATCGCATTTCAGCTTATGACCTGGCTCATTCCCAACATCATCGGGGATGCCGTCGCTGTCGCGATCGTGGGTCTCCTCCTAGGCCCCGTTTACCCGTGCGCCACTGCGGTATTCAGCAAGCTGCTGCCCCGGTCGATGCAGACGTCGAGCTTGAGTTTCATTAGTGCGTTGGGAAGCAGCGGGGGTGCCGCCTCGCCCTTCTTTACGGGGTTGTTGGCGCAAAATGTGGGCACTTACGTGCTGCATCCGATCTGCGTTGGATTGTATGGAGTGATGCTTGTGGCCTGGGCGTCTCTGCCGCGTATCGCAAAGAGGTCGGAATGATTCCTCTTTCCAGGTTGTTATCCACCCCTATGCTTTACAAGGGCGTGTTGTGCTGCGACTTGAACTCTCGCAGTGGTGTTCTTGTTCGGTTTGTCAAGGCATTGGGCGGATGCATATTTTGCTTGGAGATGAAATCACATCGGTCAAGGTGGAATGCGGGGGTGGCAGATGACCTTTGCGATGCAGTTGTGGAGTATCAGCAGAGCTGACGCAAGCAAGGGGAGCGACCTCTCCCGCCCGCAAGACCATTAGTGTAGCGTCATGAACCCGATTTACCCCGTCCTACTGTATCGCTGCTGGATTTCGGTGGGATGAGCCTTCTCCGTAGGAAGTGATGTCAACAACATATGCATGCTAGTGTATCCATAGGGGTGGCTAGGACGTGGTATGTGTGTTGTGTTTTATTTCTTTGGGTAATGCGGGTAGATGGAATGAAAAGAAGAGTCGCAAGAGTCATTCATTGTATGGGTAGGAAGGTAGGTGATCTTGTATAGATATGGGGGAATGTCACGTCAGAAGAAGGCAGGCAGGCGTGAGTGATTGATGCCTCAGAATGAAAGGCAACAACATTGATCATGATTCATGATTCCCTCAGGCGGTCAGAAACCAAACGAAATCCAGAGGCTCTGCCCATACCCTTAATGCACGACTTGGTATTCATCAAATGACCCTTTCAGTCCTGATCATACATGGGATCTTGAAACTTGAATGAAGATGTGACATGCTGCCTCTCAGTACTACGAAATTGGTAGTTGTAGCTGAAGGTAGACGGTTTACACAATTAGTAACTCGTTGGGTCGGAAAAAGCAAGAGAGCGAGAGACACGAGGAGCAAGTTAGTTGTTAATCATCCATCAGCACGGGGAGGCCGTCTTTCTCTGGACTCTCTGGACTCTCTGGACTACTCCGTACTAGTCCGTCCATTCTTGTCTCACTCAACCCGTGGTTCGTTTCCCGATTGACTGCATGGATTGATTGATGATTGATGGATTGATTGACGGCCTTGACTGACTGACGACGGTTTTTGCCAGACTCCCTACTCACTACCTCACTCAATCAATGAGCTGACCTGGAATGGACTGGACTGGACTGGCTTGCTTCCATGAATTGACTGACATTCCATCTCATCCACCATCATTCATGCTATCCGTATGATATCTATCTCATCTTGTGCTTGTTTGTGTCTTCTTTCTACCTTCCCTGGTTTTTCTTAATTAAGTCCTTTGCATTTCTGTGCTCTTTTTCTTTCCTCCCCTCCTTCTTTTCTTCCTTCCCCCCTGCAAATTGCAACTGTCAACAAAAGTAAGAGCCCCGCGATCGCCAACTCTTGTTATTGTTGTCGATTTTCTTTCCCTTCCTTCTTTCTGTCTTCCATCCCTCGTCCCTCCGTCTTCTCCCTCCCTCCCCCCACTTTCCTCCTTCCTTCCCTTTCCCCTCTCCGCCTCCCTCCTTCACTCCCGTCATCTCTTTCCCTTCCCTTCTCTCTCACTATCACTTTTTGAATTCCCCCATCTCCCTCCCCCCTCTCCTTCCTCCTCCTCCTCCTGCTCCCCGCCCCTCCCCCTCTCCCCTCCCCCTCCTCATCTCTCCTGGCTGCCTTCTAATCGCAGCAGGACCCGTTCATAACCACCCTTCTCACGGGTTTCTTGGTTTCTTGTCGACCTCCCAATAGTTCTCCCCGGCTATTTCTACCTTCACCATGGACGGGGACGAGCTCATCGCCTCGGTCTACCGCAAGATCGAGCGGGAGAAGGCCCTCATCGCCGCCGCTTCGAACATGCGACAGTCGACCGATAATCCTCTCGTGCAGCAAAGGGTCGACGCCAACATTCGCGATGGGCAGAAGAATATTGCTTACCTCGAGGAGAAGATGCGGGAACTGCAGTTGCGCCAAGAACGAGGCCAGGCATCCCCGACCGATCGACGCATCCCCTCGGGTGACGGTGCACCTGTGCCACCGCAGAAGGATTACGGCAATGAGTATGGCGAAGGGGCCGGTCAATATCCGCAGGGAGGATCAGGGTCCATGCCGTCAGGTGCCCCATACGCAGACCCTCGCCCTTTTGCTCCCGTGCCCAAGGCTCGCCCCAATTACACAAAGCTCGGTAGGCATTTCACATTCCCGGTCGCCGGGATGGGAGCGATCGAGACCTACATCCCGGGTGCGACTCGAAGCAAGGCTGACTTGATCATCTGCAGACTTGATCAAATATGACACTCAGTACCTGGGACCCAAGATCCAGCTCATGCTGTCCCAGCTGGAGTTCAAGCTGAGTGTAGAGAAGCAATACAAGGCTGGTATCGAGAAGATGGTTCGCTTGTATCAGGATGAGGGAGATCGCAAGAGTCGTGCCGATGCTGAAGGCCGGCGGATTGAGAGTAACCAGAAGATCCAGTTGCTGAAGCAGGCCCTGAAGCGATATGAGGATCTTCACGTCGACATCGAATCAGCAGACAGCCCTGATGGTCAGTCGCATAATCACCGACGCCATCTTTCACCCCTGTTTCGTAGCTAACCCTTCGTTTCTGCCAGATGAGAGCCTAAGCACACCAAACCTGCGTAAGCCGCTCACAGGTCTGCTAACCATGCGCATCCATGCCGTGCAAGATGTAGATCATGCCACCAGCTCCCGATTCTCGCGCGGCCCGGAGACTTTTGTGGTTCTGAAAGTGGAGGATACCATTAAAGCGCGCACGAAGCCGACTCGCACAGATAGATGGCAGGATGAAACTTTCAACTTGGAGATTGACAAGGCCAACGAAATCGAACTCACCGTATATGATAAATCTGGAGATCGGCCTACCCCGATCGGCATGCTCTGGGTGCGCATTTCGGACATTGCCGAGGAGATGCGTCGGAAAAAGATCGAAACGGAGTTCAATGCATCGGGATGGGTTTCTGCGGAAAAGATGGGACATGGAGGACAGCCCGGACGGCCCGATACTGCAGGAGGAATGGGTGCATCTCATCAAGGTGGCCCCGGGGGTCCTGCAGGGCCGGGTGGTCAGGGTGGTGCGGCCGGCGCACCGGGTGCTGGCCAGGTCATCATTGATTCTTGGTTTGCGTTGGAACCAGTTGGGCGTATCCAGCTGTCCATGAGTTTCGGTGAGTTTGAAATCGCTCTATTGCGCGACTGGCTATTGGACTGACATCATCCACAGCTAAGCAACTGAAAGACCGACGTCCGTTCGATATTGGTCTCAATCGTCAAGGTGCTGTTCGGCAGAAGAAGGAGGAGGTCCACGAGAAGCAAGGCCACAAGTTCGTCACGCAGCAGTTTTACAACATCATGCGCTGCGCGCTTTGCGGCGATTTCCTGAAATATGCCGCCGGCATGCAGTGTGCTGACTGCAAGTACACCTGCCATAAGAAGTGCTATCCCAAGGTCGTCACCAAGTGTATCAGCAAAGCCAACTATGAGACGGACCCGGACGAAGAGAAGATCAACCACCGGATTCCGCACCGTTTCGAGGGTTTCTCCAACCTTTCAGCCAACTGGTGTTGCCACTGTGGATACTTGCTGCCTTTCGGACGCAAGAACGCAAAACGCTGTACAGGTAGGTGAACCCTCTAAAGCCCGAAAGTCTGGCAGGAACTGACATGCGACGCTTTACTACAGAGTGTGGTCTCACGAGTCACGCCCACTGTACTCATCTCGTGCCCGACTTCTGTGGCATGTCCATGGAAGCAGCTAACCAGATCTTGGAAACTCTTATTCGGGCAAAGGTTCATAATAAGTCTCCATCGGTCAGCTCTACCAGCCGCCTGAGCGACCGCACCTTGCGCGCTCCTCAGACTCCGCAGGACCATACATCCATGGCCTACCCGTCAAAGCCTGTCGAGCAGTACGAGCCAGCACGGCCCGCCGCTCGGGATGCCGTGAGCGCTGCGTCTATGTCATATAAGCCTCCGCAGTCTCCAACTACCCCTCAAGCATCTCAGACATCTCCCAGAAGCTCGGCTTCGGCCGATCTCGCAAGCCATGCCGCCGCAGCCGCGGCAAATACTCGTCCTCCCCAGGCGATGCCAGGTATGTTCATTTCACAGGGTGAGGATCAACTTCTAGGCGGCAACTAACTCAATTTACCTACAGAACCAAGCCGCCCTGTGCAGCCCCAGCCACCCCAGCATGCTCGCTATGATCCTTCGGCTTATCCCATGTTTGAAGGAGGAGGCATGCCACATCAGCAGATGCAGAATGTCGGTGCCCCTGGTCCGTATGGCGTTCAGCAGCAGCAGCAGCAGCAGCCGCCGCCGCCACCGCAACAGAGTATGGCAGTGGCACAAAAGCAAGCACCTGAGGCGCCTCAGCAACAACCGAAGGTCAGAATCGGACTGGATCATTTCAACTTCCTGGCGGTTTTGGGTAAGGGTAACTTTGGTAAGGTCATGCTGGCGGAGACCAAGAGCACAAAGAAGCTTTATGCGATCAAGGTCCTGAAGAAGGAGTTCATCATCGAGAATGATGAAGTCGAAAGCACCAAGTCTGAAAAGCGGGTCTTCTTGATCGCCAACAAAGAGCGTCACCCCTTCCTCCTTAACCTCCACGCCTGTTTCCAGACCGAGACGCGCGTGTACTTCGTTATGGAATATATCAGTGGTGGTGATCTGATGCTCCACATTCAGCGCGGCCAGTTTGGTCTCAAGCGAGCACAGTAAGTGATTCTCGTCATTTAACCATAGCCAGGATGCTGACTTTCGTGCGCGTAGGTTCTATGCTTCCGAGGTTTTGCTCGCGCTGAAGTATTTCCACGAGAATGGTGTCATCTATCGTGACTTGAAGCTTGATAACATTCTTTTGACTCTGGATGGCCATATCAAGATTGCGGATTACGGTCTCTGCAAGGAAAACATGTGGTATGGTGCAACAACCAGCACCTTCTGTGGTACGCCCGAATTTATGGCACCCGAGGTAAGATATTCTTGTCTGTGCTTCTCCTTGGATTGTGTCTAACAGTTTGGATCAGATTCTCCTGGATAAGAAGTACGGACGTGCTGTCGATTGGTGGGCATTCGGTGTCCTTATCTACCAGATGCTTCTTCAGCAATCCCCCTTCCGTGGTGAGGATGAGGACGAAATCTATGACGCCATTCTCGCCGACGAGCCGCTGTATCCCATCCACATGCCCCGCGACTCGGTCTCTATCCTGCAGAAACTGCTTACTCGTGAGCCCGAGCTGAGATTGGGCTCGGGTCCTACCGATGCCCAAGAAGTCATGTCCCATGCATTCTTCAGGAACGTCAACTGGGATGATATCTACCACAAGCGTGTGCCACCACCCTTCATGCCCACCATCACCAGCCCGACAGATACCAGCAATTTCGATCAGGAATTCACAAGTGTGACTCCTGTCCTGACGCCTGTGCAGTCCGGTAAGGCACCAATCCAGTATGCAAGGTTATTTCACAGCAGGCTAACACCTCTTCTTAGTCCTTTCTCAAGCTATGCAGGAAGAGTTCCGCGGCTTCTCCTACACTGCCGACTTCGCATAAACATTCTCCGCGTAACTTCTCGACCGCCTGTGCTGATTGCGCGTTTGTCTTGTCTCTACTTTGGCCTGATGTGTTTCTCGGATTCTTGATGTTGCCGGTCTTTGGGCACCGTTTGCGCCGGTGTCTTTCACATACCCATAAGTGTTTTGAGTGCCAGTGTAAGCGTGGTGATAGCTTTTGTGAATGCAGATGGATTGATGGCTTCGACGGTGTTTTATTCTACGACATTATATCCTGTTTCTGCAACCCGAGGCTTTTGGTTGTCTTCTAATTTCTGTTTCTTTGTGGGCGTAATTGACGTGCTCGGAATATAACTCTGCTCCAGGGACTATCTATTCTCATGACTATTGCAGTATATTTTGTGGCACGGTCACTCGAAGGATGCTGCTCTTGTGTTAGAATGGTTTATGAGGATAGAAGCTGTGTTGCGCCGGCTGACACAAGTATAATCTTACTTCACCTTCCTGTCGCTCAAGTAGTGCCTACTCGCTGCCGGTTGAGGATTTTGACGCTACCTCCCCCGAGGTGAAACATGCCGTGTACAAACCACCTCTTTTCGCAGGATGCTCTTTGTTCGGGCCATGCCTTCTCGAGGGTGGAGTGAATGTATCACTTGTAGCCAGAAATAGGGTGATGATCTCTCATTTGACTTTTACTTTCACCAGGAACAAGTCTTTGTTTAATCCTGAGCCATATTCAATCACCTTCCTCCCTCCCCCTACTCTCCATACTCGGTAATCTGTCTCTTCTTCCCCTCCCTTTGTCTTCCACCACTCACCCCCCTCAAGTCAGACAAAGGACAAGGACAAGGACAGAGAAAAGAAGATAAACGGACGATTGATAACTGCCAAACACACAAAGAACAAGATGGCTTCTGACATCCACCGCAATTTATTGCCCTTCTCGCCGCCGCCTCCATGTCCACGTCTGACTCCAGATGACTCCCGACATACTTCGGACGAACTACGATTGCTGCAAATTGCTTCCAACGACGCAGACGACGACAGAACTGTTGCCTGTGTAGCCTCTACTCTGGGGATTCAGTCAGAATCACCCCATCTTGCCACCAATACTGACGGTACCAACAAAGACGTGAGCCCCGAAGCGCCGACAGTAACACCTGCTACTTCTACTACTCCTAAGACTCAGGCCACCACCCCGAGCCCGACCCGACGCATCTACAATTTCCTCTGCTCAGCACTCACCGAGATGGCTCGAGCCAGAAAACGAGTCCAGGCCAAATCCACCAGGGCCAAGCAAGCGAAGAGAGACCCGGACTACGATCCATCCAAGGAGGACCACCGAGACGAAGAGGAGGAATACCGGTATGGCGCCAACCTGATGAAGATCGAAGCCGAACATCTGGGGAAATACCTGCACGAGACCATCTCCGGCCCCCGGCGAGGGAAGAGAAGCTTGGAATTGCAGATTCCCGTCAAGGTTGAGGAACAGGATGAGGGGGTCACGTATCCTACTCCTCCTGCTGAGAAGAACACCACTTCATTGTCAATCCAGACGACCGTCAGCAAGAGGCCGCTGGACGCTGACGCCATCAGTCCTGCAATCAAGAGGCTCAAGCTGGAGGAATCGCACGAGTCGATCCTGTCCTCTCTACAAGACACCCCAGCGCCGGAGTTGAGATTCGACCACCGCCATAATGCATTGGCCGAGTCGGCGGCGGCAGGCAATCCGAGTACGCCGACGACGAATAGCTCTCGCGCGGGTTCACCGCTGCGAACTCAAAGTACCCCGGGTTCCTTGTCGCCGGAGCTGAGTCCAGGTGGTGACGGGGTTGATGTTGCTATGGATGATACGCCTTCGTCGCCTAACTTGAGCCCAGTTGCTCGGGTGGGCTTTGTTGTGGATGAAGAGCAGTCGCCAACTGTGAATCTAGGTAGTCTGCAGGACGTCGTCGTGGATGACAAGCGGCCCAAACCATCTCGATCTCGGCGCCAGTCGCGCGGCAAATCGCAGGGCAAATCGGGAGGCAAATCGCGCAGGCGGACAAGAACCTATTCACCCTCGGCGGATGAGAGGTTTGACTCGCCTTCGGACAGCGAGAATGACGAGAGTCTTGATGAGTTCGAGATGTATCGCATCAAGCCCCAAGAGAAGACGGGGATCGTGTTTGACTTTTCGTCTGAACGAGCTGCGCGCTGGGCAACGGCCATCAATCTGCCCGAAGGCCTGTACAACAGTGAAGAGCAGGACCTTTTCTTCCGGCTCGCTATGCGTGGCTTTGAGCCGCTCGTGCCCCAGCTCTGGCGACACGACTTCCCGACGCTGCCGGAATCGTTGTATCCACCGACCTCGGGCCCTTCTTTCCGACCTCTTTTTCAGGTTCGCAGAAGCTCCAATCTGTATGGTAAGTGCTACTGCCGTTAGACTGTTGACTTGTGAGTTGCTGATTCCGTCCCCAGCCACCAAAGCCCTAGCCAACCTGTTCAATGTCGGGGGCCGCGTCCGGGACTGCGACATCTTGGGCCAACGACCCGAGAAAGTGATCAAGACCGCCATCAAGCAGTACTTCCGCTGGGCGCTGTTCGATGCCGATCTCCACACCACTGACGACTCGATCCCCGTGTATGCGGTCTACGCGCAGAGGAAAGGCGAGACGACGCTCCAGGCCGTGCGGCGCCTCAACCGCCGCCTGCGCTATCTGACCGCGAAGTACCACGAGGCTCTCGGGCTGACCCAGGGGCCGACGCAGACCGAGGCGCCGGTGCAGACGGAGGATCAGGATCCGATGCAGATCGCAGAGCCAGAGCCGGAGCCGCAGGAGAAAATCCACGACTCCATCGAGACTCCGCGCAGCTTCCCGCTGCTCATGGGGTTCATCATCTGCGGTCCCATCGTCGCGATCGTGACGCACAGCACGGATCCCCAGGAGGCCGAGGCCAGCTTCGATGGCAAGTTCATCTCGCAGTTTGACCTGTCGGAGCGGGGCCAGGACGTGTGGAACTCGCTGGCGATTGCGATTGCGGTGATGCATACGCGGCGGACGATGATCGGGTTGGCGGAGAAGGGACTGGGCGGGTTTACTTTCTTCGATACGGCGCAGCCGGCGTCGGATCGGGATTTGTAGTTTGCGTTTGATACTTATGGTGTGCTGTTCAAGGGGTGGTTTGCGCTCTCAAGTGGTGTTGTCCTGAGGGTTTCATTCTTCGATATGTTTTATTCCTGGTTTAGTGCTTCATCTGGGAGGGGAGATGGGTTGTCGTTTGTTTTTACTTTTACTGTATCTTTAGGGATATTCTATTTTCTTCGTATGTCGACTAAGAAATAGCTGGGGTGTATCTGATATTCTAATTCAAGTACGTCTCCTTTCCGAGGTGTTGGGGAGCATAGGGCTTCGCGGTATATATCCATATTACTTACTGTCTTGATCCTCACTGACAGTTGAGCAGAAGGATATCCCACCCCACATAAAACCAATAGGTGATACTCAAAAACCTGCTCAAATTCCATCCAAAATGAGCATTAATGAGCGTTAACTCCCAGTTGCAGTAATCAATCCATGCTGAACAAACAGTCAAACCAGAACAAGTCACATGACCAACAGCGGGCTCTCTCCCCAGCGATTCCCCGCCGGTCTCCCCAACTACTTACTCACTAACCCATCACTCTCAATCAACAGCCCTACTCTCATCGTCTGAAAAGCCAGAGGCCAAGAAAAATCGAGCTTCCAGCATGGACGCGGCCGAAGACCGCGAGGTCAAGCTCCAGCGCGCCTCCGGCGACCTCGTCAAGGAGTTCTCCGCCAAACTACCCTCCTTGCTGTGGAAGTCCGGCCCGAAGCACAACAGCCGAGTCCCACGCCGCTGGACCCCGGCGGCCAAGACGGAGAGACTCGTTGCGTTGGTGAGTTGGATCTCCAGCTTTCCCCCAAAAGCAATAGAATCGGCTTTTTTTCGGGGGCCGAAAGTGAGTTCATAGACCAGCCCAGCTAATGCGAGTAAACAGCTGGAACCCTTCCAAGAATGGCCCCAACTCCTGGACCCGCACCTGCAATCCCTCCTCCCGCCCCTGGTGGACGCCTTCCTGGCCTACCTGCTCAAGTACCGTGAGGAGTACGCTGGTGCTGGTGCTGTTGCTAATGCTGATGCTACTGCGGCTGCCCCGCGCGATTCTGCGGTGCATCAACACTCCGCGTACCCGCTCCCCCGCGCGATCAGCCGCCTCCTCTACACCTTCTGCAAGGTGCGGGGCGTGAAAGTCATCAGCCGGTTCTTGAATAATGAGCCGAAGTATCTGGATCCGTTGCTGCGGGCGTTCATTGCCTGGGATGCGGATGCTGCTGATCAGACTGAGGCGCGGCCGTGGGATGTGCCCCGGAGGATGGTGTGGGAGGAGCGCTATGTTATGCTGATGTGGTTGGCGCATTTGTTGCTGGCGCCGTTTGATTTGGCGTTTTTGTCGTCGGAGGATTTGGTTGTGCCGTTTGGGAATCTCCAGCAGGTGGGTGTGGGTGGGTTGATGGTGAGTAAAGAGGGGGAGGGGGCAGCGGCAGGGACAGAGCAAACACCCAGGCTGGCCAGGGCGCTGCTTTCGCTGGCGTTGGAGTATGTGCATGTGGCTGGGAAGGAGCGCGAGGCTGCCACGGTGTTGTTGGCGCGGTTGGTTCTCCGGCGGGATATGCAGGCGTTGGGGCTTTTGGGGGCGCTGGTGAAGTGGGCTTTTGGGGTTTTGCTGCCTGCTGCTGCTGCTGCTGCTGGAAGTACGGATTCTACGACTACTCCTATGTCGGTCTATACGTGTATCGGCGTGTTGTCGTTTCTGGCCCGCTTGGCCGCGTCCGCCCAGGTGGAGGACTTTGCCCCCTTGATTATGCCCGTCTTTCAGCAGACGCTGCGCATCGTGCAGGGCACCTCGGAGGTGTCGCAGGTCATTCGGTCGTCGGCGTCGGCGAGGAAGATTGTCATCAAGATCCTGCGCGCGCTGACGGTCATGGCGCTGGCAGCCGGCGAGCGGGCAACCTGTGCACTGACCGAGGATGAGGTCTCGAGTATCCTGGAGGACTCCATCGATCACTTCCTCGTCTCGCTGGCGGATAAGGACACCCCCGTTCGCTTTGCGGCCAGCAAGGCGCTGAGTATCATCACCCTCAAGCTGCACCCGGAGATGGCGGCCGAGGTCATCGAGGCGGTCACCGGCTCGCTGGAAGAGAACATCCTGTACCAGAAGCCGGACGGCGCCATCGTGACCCTCCTCGAGGCCCGTCGCATCGGCATGAGCAGCCTCAAACGCAACCTAAGTGCCGTTGACGCCCAACGATGGCAGGGCCTGGTCCTCACCCTGGGCCACCTGCTCTTCCGTCGCGCGCCCCCCACCACCCAGCTGCCCGCCGTGCTGCAGCCGCTGGTCTCGGGGCTGGACTTCGAGCAGCGATCCTCGACGGGCAGCTCGGTGGGCACCGGCGTTCGCGACGCCGCCTGTTTCGGCATCTGGGCGCTGTCGCGGAAGTACACCACCCAGGAGCTCCTCGCTCTGACGACACAAACCACCATCAGTACTCCCAGTGTCCAGGGAGAGCAGAACACCACCACCTTGCAGATGCTGGCGATTGAGTTGGTCTGCGCGGCCTGCGTGGACCCCTCGGGCAATATCCGGCGGGGCGCCTCGGCGGCCTTGCAGGAGCTGATCGGCCGTCATCCGAACACGATCGCGGAGGGCATCCCGCTGGTCCAGGTGGTGGACTACCATGCGGTCGCGCGACGCTCGAGGGCGATGAATGAGATCGCGGGCGCCACGGCCGCGCTGAGCCATCACTACTGGAGTCCGCTGGTGGAGGCTCTGATGCAGTGGCGTGGAATCGGCTCGCCCGACGCCGAGTCGAGACGGCAAGCTGCGCGGGCTATTGGAGGGTTGAGCGCCCAGGGCTCCTACCGGACGATGCAGCAGGTGCTGGAGCGGTTGCTCGCGCGACTCCAGGGGATTCCGCACGGTGAGGTGGAGACGAGACACGGTTGTTTCCTGGCCATTGCCGCCACGGTCGATGCGTTCCACGACCAGCGGGCGAAGACTAAGACAGGCAGTGAAGCGGTGGCCGTCGCCGGTCTGTTGGATCGGGTCTGGGGTGTGTTCGATTCGCCTCTCGGACCGACGAGGGATGACCTGACGCTGCAGAGCTGGCGGCCCGAGCTGACTGCCGAAGCGTCGGCGTGTCTGATCTACTCGCTCTCGCGAGCGACGTCCTCCCAAGCCGAGCCACGGCCCCCACCACCGTCTGCCACCGTCTTGGACAAGGCCCGCGAGGTGCTTCTGCTGTGCATATCGCGGAGCGAGGATATCTCGATCGAGACGTCCTCGCAAGCCATCTCGGAGCTGTGGCCTCTGCTGTCGTCGGAGACGCAGAGGGGGATCCTGGAGGCGTGGTTCTCCCATCTCAGCACCACCTGGAACCTGCCCACCGGACGCGGTCAGATCGCTGCGTTGGGGGCGGTGTTCAGACGGCTGCCGCCGGACAGTCCCCTGCGGAAGTCGGTGATTGAGAATTTGGTCCGGTGTGCTGAGAAGGAGGAGCTGATCGAGAAGCGGGTCTCGGCTGTGAAGAGCCTGACGAGCGGTATTCTGCCGCATATTGGTATGTTTGTGGATGCGAGTGTGTGGATATGAGTTTGTGGGTGAGCCGCTGACAATTTGATACTGCTATAGACATCACGGACAGTCTGGTGAACCACCTGGTCAGACTCTTGAACGATTACACGACCGACCGCCGCGGCGACGTGGGCTCCCTGGTCCGCCTCGAGGCCATCCAGGCCGCGGGCATCATCCTCCCCAAGAATTCTAGCAGTAGTCGAGATCAATTCCGGGACATTGTAGGCTGTCTCTGCCGCCTGGCGGCCGAGAAATTGGACAAAGTCCGCATCGCGGCCTGGCTCTGTTTGCAGAGTTTCTGGGAGACGGCCGAGGAGTTTCCCCCGCTGCTGAAGTACGTCCCTCCCGTCCCTGGTGTGTGGAGATGATAGATTTGTTTCTGACTTGGGGTGATGATAGTAAATTCGACCACTTCAGCCACGTTTCGACGGCGGAATACTTCCTCCAACTCCTGAGTCTCCAGCAAATCCCCTGGCTGCGGACCCCCCTGTTCCAGGGTCTAGCGACCTCCGCGGTGGCAGGAAGCGAGGGACTCATCCGTGCTAGTCGGGCAGCGCTGGTCAGGAGTTACTGTCTGCAGCAACAGGGATACCTCCTCGCCCTCCTCACCGACCTCAGCAGAATTCTGGCGACGAATCTACAGGACGACCGCTACGCGATCCCCGTGATGGAGTTTGTGGGGTTTATTCTCGATGGTTTCGAGTTTCGGGATTTTGGGGATGTAGATGGTGTTGGCTTGAGGTATGTCCCCTTTGCTAAAGGCGCTCGAAAGCTTGGGAATACGCTAACTCTGTTCGATGGTTTTCTTTTTGGGGGGAGTAGGGACGTCCTGAAGGATCTCTTCGTGCTCATCCAAAAAGCCCACTTCAAATCCCCCAATCTGGCCCGTCTGGAGGCCGCGGTCAGAGTCTACGCGCCGCTGTCGAGGGTTGCTGGGGATGTTTCTGGGGTTGTGCCTGCCGCTGCGGGGGCGGTGCTGCAGAAGGATGTTCGCAAGAAGATGACGGGGTTGCTTTTGCATCCTTTTCCGAGGGTAAGTTTCTCCTTCCTGTTTCTTAGTGAGGTATTATGTGGTGGATGGCTTCTGGCCTCCAGAGGGCCTGGGGCCTGAGGCTACCGGGCTACTCAGGGACGATTCAAGCACTTTCTTTTCAACGCGTCATGCTAACTCTGTTCTTCTGTTTCGGGCAGGTCCGTTCCCTCACGGCGGAGTATCTGTTCATGGAGACCGGGGCGGAGGTGGTCAAGGTGGAGGACTGGACGCGGCCGAATCGCGAGTTGAAGGGGGTGGTTGAGGTGGTGAGGGGGGTTGTTTTGTGAATACTCAGATCCGTCCGGGTTCCAGGTGTAAATTAAGTGTTGGTTGGTGATGAGGTTACACCCTTTCAGCGGGTTGTTTAATATGAGGACTTTTCCCTATTCTACTTTGCTGCTGTTGCTGGTGCTGTTGCTGGTGCTGTTGCTGGTGCTGTTGCTGGTGCTGTTGCTGGTGCTGTTGCTGGTGCTGTTACTGGTGCTGTTGCTGTTGCTGGTGCTGTTGCTGGTGCTGTTGCTGGTGCTGTTGCTGGTGCTGTTACTGGTGCTGTTGCTGTTGCTGTTATTCTTGTCTTAGGTAAGGGTCGTAGTGTAAGTTGGTTGGTTTGTTGCTGCTGGATGCTTTTTGTTGTGGTTATAATTACCTTATAGGGATTGTAATTCTAGTGATTGCTGTTATGGTTATGATTGTGGTTACGCTAAGGATTATGGTAAGATGAGTGGTTGATAAGAGCGGTGTTGTACTCATACATCAAGGGTGGTAATTCAGGAACGATGCTGTATTCCGGAATATTCTCATGTCCCATCGCCGGAGATTCGAATCATCCTTCCGTTGGATGAGCTCGAGGAATTTGGAGGGGGGGGGGGGGGAGGAACCGGAAAGAAAGCTCCGGCCTCAATGCAGGAGTGCCAGATTAGTCCCAGAAAACTAATTATAAACCACACACCACACTACACTACACTACACAACACAACACAACACAACACAACACAACACAACACAACACTGCCCTACGCAGCCTGGTCACACTCACGCTGACGGGGCTGACTACTGGACCCTCCAACTTCAAATCAAGCTTCAAGCTTCAAGCCTCGAACAACGACTCTTGCCCCAGCTGGAATGGGTCCTTATGAAAGTCCCACTGGTATGTAAGTTACAGTACGGTATTATCTACCCCACAATCCCTATAACATCCCTATAGCTGGGCTGATGGGAAAGCAAATATCCCACCGTTTGTCTACATCGAAGAACTGGGTTACGTTTGGTAGGCTAGGGAATGGGAGTTGTATTGAGCCCAGCCCTGGGATGATATCCATATTCCAATGTCAACCAAGGTCAAGATCAGATGAGATATAAGGTAAGAAGGTAAGATAAGATGGACGGAATATTCGGATACAGGGCGCGATGATGCGCGTGGAATAGAAAAGATGAAATGGGTAGAGGACAAAGAAGATCGATGGGTTCTTGGGTGGGTTGTAGGTTGTGGGTAGGTAGGTAGGTAGTAGGTAGGTCAAGGTCAAGTGTGTTTGTTGTACATTTGTGGAATGGATGTGGGAGTTTGCGGTGGGGCGGGAGAGGTTGGAGACCGCTAAGATAGAGGCTTGGAGTTGGTTCATCTATGCAACTGGCTGATATGCAAGCAAAAATGTCATCACTACCTAGGCGGTCACTAGTCGTCCATTTCATCATCCAAATCAATCGCGTCCGGGTTGACGGGCGCCGCGACAGCGCCACCAGCACCCACAGGTTGCTGCTCGGGCCGGTTGCCTCCCTCCGGTCCGGTGCTGGCCGCCACAAAGCCCACGGGGGCCCGCGCCTGTCTCTCCAGCGCGGCCATGGCGTCGGCGTGTTCGGCCGCCGCGGCCGAGTCTTCGTCTCCGTCGCCGTTCTCGAGGGGCTTGTCCCCGGCTTGCGTGCGTTGTTGGCTGCGGGCGATGGCCTGGGAGGCGATGAAGTTGACGTCGGTGCTGGTACAGTTAGCTACATGATTCACCAAAAAGAGGGACAGAATACATACTTATACTGAGCTTGGACACTGCGCTTGATCCGCAACATCTCCTTGAAGGTATCCTCGTTGCCGTGCTGCACCTCGAAGGCCTCCCATTTCTGCCAGAAGCCGGCATTGGTCCGCGGATCGCAGAACTGCGAGGCATGCCCGTAGATGGCGCGCGCCCGGTCGATCTCGCCCAGGCGGCGCTCCATCTCCGCGAACTTGAGACACATCTCCTTGGCTTCTTGGTCCGGCAGGGCGGCAATGGCGCGCTCGTAGATGGGCCGCGTGGACGTCAGGCCGAAGTTGGAGGCCGACTTGGTGATGTAGAACTCGAACATCTCGAAGCGGTCCTCGTCCGACACCGCGCGCGTCGCCCGCTCGTAGATCCGCATCGCGTGGCGGGCCAACCCGCGCTCCTCCTCCAGGTTGCCGTACATCAGATACAGCGGCTTGGCGAACTTGGGCGGGCAGCCGTCCAGGGCCTGCTCGAAGAGGTCGCGCAGTCGCTCGATGCCGATCTTGCGGTCGACCGCCTTGGTCAGGTACAAATTCCACAGTTCGAAGGCCACGGGGTAGCTAAACAGATCCAGGCCGCGCTCGTAGACCTTGAACGAGTCCTCGAAGTATTTGTGCTCCTCCAGCAGGTTGGCGTAGTTGACCACCGTCTGAGGCGTGGCGATGCGGAGCTCGAAGATGCGCTCGTACACCGCTTTCGTCTCCTCGATCGTGGACACACTCTCCACCAGATCGACGTAGAAACTCCACAGCTTCCAGCTTTTGTGCACCCGTTGTTGGGGCGAGAGCGTCTCATCGAAATAGTCCACGGTCGAGCGCTTGGGCGCCTGGGTTGCCTTGGCCATGATCTCGACCGCTTTGTCGAAGTTCTCACTCCGAAGCTCCATCTCTGCCCATTCGCACCACGTCTCGGCCAGCTCCGCCACGGATTTGAACGGAACCTTGACGGCCTTCTCCATGATGACCCGTGCGGTATCCAGATCGCCGCCGTTTTCGTAGAACTTGGCGTAGTTGACCCAGAGCTCCGAGAACTTCCCGTGGGCCTTCTTCGGGTTGATCGCGGCAATCGCTGCGGTGTAGGTCTGCACGATTTCGTGCTTGTTGTCGCCCCAAAGCGCGACGCGCTTCTCCCATTCGATGACGTTGTTGGGGTTCTGTCGCAGTAGCACATCGTTGACGAGGAATGGTCGTCGATCCATCAGCTGTTCAAACCGCAGCATGCGCAGATCGAGGTCGAAATCGGCCTCCTCGTCGCTCTGGCCGTTATCCGTGCGCGCCGCCGCCGACTCCATCAGACTCCCGATGATGGACTCCTCGAACTCCACGTACGCATCGAAGACCAGAGTGAAGTCGCGGACCGTCATGACGGTGGTGATACCCTCCTCGAAGACGTCTCTCGCCTTTTCGAAATTGCCGCGTGTGATCCAGTAGGTCGCCAGGCCCGCCCACAGCTTACCTCTCTGATCGGCAAAACGGTCGATTCCGCTGCGCAGGATGGCGTCCACATCGATCCCGACACGGGGGCCGGTCTCGATCTGTTTCGCCTTGGAGACCAGCAGGTCCACCATCTCGGTCCACAGCTGGAAGTTGCTCTTCCCCTCTTTGGACTGGAAGCGCGAGTCATCGAGAATCTGCATGTATTTCTTGACGGCCTCGGTGTAGTGGCCCATGTCGACCAGCAGGGCGATGTACTCTTCGGCATTCTCCGGATGGATCTGCATGTAGCGCGCCCAGATCTTCACGGCCGTGAGGCCCGACGCGGACCGCGCGAACGTCTTGTAGATCCGCCAGATGCGGTTGTGTTGGGTGATGGGGAGGGCGCGGAGGGCGCGGTCGAAGGTGCGGCGCGTCTGCGTCACCAGTGGCTGCTGCAGAAGGAACGAGAGGTACAGCTCCCAGATGCGCGGCATCTTGTTGAGCAGGATGAGGGCCCGCTCGAAGAGCGCGTTCACCTTCTGGTATTCGGCCTTGTAGACTGTCGCATTGCGGCCTCGGAGGTGGTTCGTCCGGAACTCGAGATACTTGGGGGGTGTCAGTTCAGCGTTGATCATCGGTTAAAAAAAGAATCCATACCAGTTTCCACAACTTGTACGATCTCGGCAGTTGTCTGCAAGCGCGTTCCATAACCTGCGATCATCATCAGTTCCTGTCCCAAACGACACTCGATGCCCGATTCTGAGAATACATACAAACGCCTGCTCATACAGCGTTCCATTCTGTTGTTTGTATTCGATATACGCGAGCCATGGCTTGACGCTGCCGGGATTGCGCAGAAGATCCTGCTCGTACACGGTATCCTGATCGGCCTTGACGCAAAAATTAGTTTCAGCTCTTTCTGCAGATCTCTCCCCTCGACTTTCGACTTACAATCAGGTAGAAGTCCGGCCCGGAGGCCGAGGAACGGTCCATCTGTGCGTGTTGCCGGTGGGATCTCGGGGGCAGGATTGTCCCTGGCATTGCGCCACTCAAACTGAGCGGGACCGACTCACACGGAAATCAACGCAGTAACACCCGGCGAGGTGAGTGTCGCATATGCAGATAGTCAAAAAAAAGAAGCCCTCGTCGCTGCTGGAAGGGAGAGGAGGGGTTTGGGGATATGCGGTTTCCAAGCTTGCGGGCGATGGAGGTCGCAAGCAGGGCACGTGACCGGGTGTCATGCGCCCCGGCGGGCACGGGTTGGTCCGAGCTTTGGGACATTTGTTGCTGCGGATTGACTTGACTTATCAGTTGAGTTAATCGTCATGGCTTGAGCCGCTCTCCGTCCCTATCGGTTCATTCCTCCTCCTTCCTTCTCGACGCTATCCGTGGCCTGGCCCTTGTCTTTTGCTTATTTCTTCCCTCAGTGCTCTCAATCATGTCGGGTGCGGTGGTATGTGAATTCTTTACTTCAGTCTTACTATCAAGCTTGGTCACTTATGTTGCTTTTACATAGGGCCGTGAGGCAGTCTTCCCGACTCGCCAGTCCCTCGGGTTGATGAAGGGGAAATTGAAGGGCGCCGAGACCGGTCACAGTTTACTGAAGCGCAAATCCGAAGCTCTTACCAAGTGAGATCTCCTGCTGTTTGTTTATGATCTGGAGACCCCTTTGACAGAAACTGACTTTGTATATACTTGTGTCCACAGACGTTTCCGCGGTATGGTTGCCCCTGCCCCCGGGGAATTCCCCTTTCCAACCCCTCTTACCTAAAGAGCTCCCAATATATCCGCGCGCACTTCCGCCTCAAGTTTGATGCGAAACTCCCTTCCCCCCACTAACGAACGCCTCAGAGATCACCCGCCGCATCGACGAAGCCAAGCAGAAGATGGGCCGCGTGATGCAGATCGCCGCCTTCTCGCTGGCGG